ATACATCCTAGTGTACTCTCTCTCCCTTGCATTTTAATTTTTGTAGGCTATTGCATGTTTAGGTAATCGATTCTTAGAGTAGTTTATCGTTAATTCCTGTTGATAGTAATTTATTATATAAATTTTGGTTTTGTTAGAATCAAAACCTATTTATGTTTTAGTGATGATTAAGTTCTGCAAATTATGGTGTTAGAATTTTGCAGAAATTGAATTTTGTAAAGAACACATATCGTGTAATTTATGAATTATCAATTTATCGTGTCATGTAACTCTTTGGATATATTCTCTAATCAATCTGAGATGATTTTTAATTGTGTAATTGTATTCGTGATTAATTTTCAATTGAAGCATAAAGTCTCTATTTTTCTCTACAAGACTTTCGCATCAAAAAATCTTTTCTCTACTCCATATTCCTACCTAACAATTTCGATACCCAAGGTTAAATCTTCCTCTCATTTAGGTGAATTTAGGATAATTTTTTAGGTGTGATATATAAATAAATTGGTGGCTAAAGTATTGGCCACTATACTTGGATTATTGATGAAGAAACTCATTCCCCCTAACCAATCGACTTTTTTTAAGGGACGATATTGGTTGATGGAGTGGTGGCCATCAATGAGATGATAAACTTGGCCAAGAGATCCAATAAAGAATGTCTTATTTTTAAGTTCAATTTTGAGAAAGATGTCAATTCAACTAATTGGAAATTTCTAGACTATATACTTACCATTTTTGGGTTTAATGAGAAGTGGATGGCTTGGATGAGCAATTGTGTGTTCAATGGTGTTGTTCCTTTTGATTGGCTGCATTAGGTAAAACAACATATGTACAAAATATATTTTGGAGGAAACATGTGGAATAAGATGTTCCAGCGTGTGTTCCAGCATCTGACCACATTTTGCAGACCAAGCCTTGTGAGTGAATCTGTGCGCATTGATGTTTGATTCGTGGAAGATTTGTTGCGGTATCTTTAAGAAAATAGTATTCAATAATATTTGCTAAAAAGATTTTATTAGTCCATAAGCTTGAAGAATATTTAATTAGATATGAATTAATTAAAAAGATTTGGAGTTGAAAGATTTAATTGGATATGAATTAACTAAAAAGATTTTATTAATCCATAAGTTTGAAGAAGATTTAATTAGATATAAATTAATTAAAAAGATTTGGAGTTGAAAGATTTAATTGGATATGAATTGAATATAGGTTTGGTTTATTTTTATCCAAGATTATGCTAAAGATTTAATTAAACAAATATTCCATGAAGAGATGTAATGTGATTTGTTTTAATTACAAGATATGGATTTGCACTTAATAAAAAAATCTTCAATCCAGGATTTAGAAATGTGTATCAGTTTTAGCAAGAGATTTATTCTGAATCCTTTACTTAAGAAGTTGAAATAGTAATTTATATCAAGTAAAGATTTTATTTGAAGTGATCAAAATGTCTTGGTGAATAAAGAACTTGTGTGGAACATGATGTTCCAGCATATGTGCAAGATGTTTTGTGAAGAAATGACACATGTGGAACCAAATGTTCCAGCATGTGTGCAACATCTGGCCCCTGTCAGAAGGATTTTTCTAGTTGGTTCAATCAGATTAACTGCAAATTTGTTGCTATAATTTAGCAATGCATCTATGTAAATTTGTTTGGTTAAATTGGACGTGATCAAATCAAATTTAAATAGAGATTTAAATTTGAATTTAAAAACAAATCATATCTTTTGTTGGAGACTTTTATGGAGCAAATCAAATCCAACTGCATCAGATATAATTCTGGATGAAATCAAATCAAATATCCAAAGGAGAAAAAGCCCAAAATTGCATTGCTATTTAAGGATACTCTCACCTCATCGTTGAGGGTGTGTGCTCTAAGATTGAATATATTTGTGCTAGATTTTATTTGAGTATTTTGTATGTGTTTCGTGTACACCACACTATTGCTTCATTCATATCATAAGGAATAATAGTTGGTTTGCTTAGTTGAGTTGTAAATTCTACCTTGATCCTTCTGATTATTGTTGTTAATCACTATGCTTAATGATTGAGAGAAGTGAGAGGGAGTTCTCATATTTAGGGGGTGAGTCCTAAATTGAAATACATTGAGGTTAGAATTAAGAAGACGGGCATTGAGCAAGAGACCTTTTCATCTAAGACATTTTGTACTAATTTTATTTAATAATGGATTTCTTTTTCTGAGTAGAGTGCCCCCCAAATTTATGTGTTGTTTGCATTAAACTAGGTCAACAATCCTTCTGTGTTCTTTACTTTTTATTTATTTATTCATTATTGTTCTCATAGTGTGTTAAATCTAGTTTAACAAGTTGGACAAGTTATCTCAGACATATGGTCCAACATCTGTCCCCTATGAGTAGAATTTCAACTTATAATCTTGCGATATTGGTTAACAGTTGTCCAACTCAAGAGATTAGAAACCAAAGAGGAATGTAGTAAGGGGATCCTCTAGCTCATTTCATTTTCTACTTGCGGTTGGGGGGCTAAGAGGCTTAGTTAAGAGAGCTAATAAAATTAGTCTTTACACAGGGTTTAGGGTGGGTTCGTCTAATTTAATGGTATCTCATCTAAAGTATGCAAGTGATACACTTCTTATGGTGGACCCTACTCTTGAAAATATATGAAGTATCAAGGTGATCCTAAGAGGGTTTGAGTTGGCTCAAGACTTTAAGTTAATTTTTTTAAGAGTTCTTATAGGGGTTAATAAGGACTTATTCTTTATAGCCTCTGCATGTAATTTTGTTAAATGTGAGATTAGAACTCTTACTTTTAAGTACCTTATCTTCCAGTAGGGGCTAATCTGATAATGGAATCTACTTAGGCCCTTTTAATTAATTTATTGACCAAGAGGTTCCATTCTTAGAAGTACATATATGTTTGTTTGGGTAGTAGGGTGATTATTTTACTTCAATGTTTAACGTTATTCCCATCTTTTTCTTGTCCTTTCTGAAGATACTTGTAAATGCTTAGAAGAATCATGGTAGGTTACAAAGAAGGTTTCTTTGAGGAAGGGTCAAAGAGAATCTAATATTGATTGGATTAAATAATATAAGGTGTGTAAGCTTGAGAAAAAAGTGGGGGCTTCAAATTAGGGACTTTTGGCTGGTAAATTTATTCCTTTTAGATAAGTGTAATAGAGGCTGTTTACAAGTGTCCTAAGTCTGTGGTGTAATATTCTTGTAGCTAGGTATGGTGCTTCAGTGTTGTTTCCTCTTTTTGAAGGGTTGGGGCATCAGGGTTTGATCAACTTCTACTTGGTGGAACGATGTGTCTCTTCTTGGGTCCAAAGAAGATGAATTTCTCTTATTGGTTCGTTAATGGTATCATTAGGAAAGTAGAATTCGGTATTCAGGCTTCCTTCTAGAAGGATCCTTGGTTAGGACCTATCCTCTTCAGTTTAAGTTCTTTGTCTTTTTTCTAACTTCACTCAATTAGAATGGCTGGTGGGAGAGATTAGGCGGACGGAAAAAGGGAAACTAATTTGAGATTTTAGGTGAAGTAGAAACTTCTTTCTTATAGAGCTACCCATGTTTGAAAATATTATTTATCTTCTCTAAGTTGTTGTTCTCTATTGAGATATAGATAAGTGGATTTGAAAACACTCTAGAGAGAGTTTTTTCAATGTTACTAGTGCCTATCATGTTTAGTTTGATGGCTTCTCGTTGTCTCCTACGATCAAGAACTTGATTATTTCCCTACTCTATATCAGCTGAACTTCTCCCAAAGCGGTGGTCTTCTTTGGCAACCTTTGCAAAAGAAGACCACCACTTTAGGAGAGGCCAAGTGACCTAGATGAGGGGAATAACCAAGTCTTGCAAAAATTTCCAAAGAAGACCACCACTTTAGAATATGTCTTGCAAATGAGGGGTGATTAGTGATCCTAAAGGGATTTCTTGTCCTTATAGTGGGGATTCAGTTGAGTCAGTCTCTCATGTTTTGTCACTATAAAGTTATCTTTATCAGTTTGGTATAAGATTTTATAATGATTAGGTTGGCCGATAGTTTATTTCTAGTGACCATATGTTTCTTTTTGAGTATTTCCTTTCGTTATGTGGTAGGGTTAAGTTTAGAGGTGATTTTGTTATGATCTAAAGCATTGTAATATACACCATTTCGAGAGTCCGTAATAATGTTAGTTCTAATGGTGTTATAAAATTTATTAAAAAGGTGGAAAATAAGAATTTTTTTTTAAATTTAAAAATAGTTTTTAGATAAAACAGGAGTGAATTTATATACATATTTTAATTGACTTCATAATTATATTTTCTTTATTAGACTTCATAATCATATTTTCTTTATTAATTTTAGTTAATCTAGTGTTCGCCCTAATTCTAAAGTAGACATTGATATATGGTTTTTATTATTCTCTTTTTAGATTCTGATAAGTTGATAATGATTATGAAAATAAAAGATTTATCTTTAATTCTAAAGGAATTGGTCTTTAGCTACTTAAACTCTTTACATGTCTTTTTGATTCACCTACTACTATGTTGATTGTGGTGTTTGTACCCTAAGTTATCATCTAAATAATTGTTTTATAATTGTTTTTATATTTACGTGGTTGTACCTATTATATTAATATATTTTGCCATTTAAAAGAAGTTTATTCGATTTATTCATTTTTATTTTATTATGGATCTTTTAAATTATTATTTTTATGAATTTATTTAATATAAAATAATTTTACGCTATCGATTAATAAGAATTTATCAATTTATCATCTGATACGATTTATTTAAAATGACGAAATACATGGTTGATTGACAATCAAATCATATCCCATTTTTTCATTTTTTATAGATATGATCATTTAGTTTTTAACTAATTAAAAGACAAGTTTAATAGATGCATCACGAAAATGGGACGGAGAAAGTGAAGAGAGGAGGTGAACATTTCGAAGCATTTTGCATTACATTTCTTCTCTAATATAATAACCACTTCCACACTTTAACTTTACCCATTCTCTGCAAACTCTCATTTCTTCCATGGATTCCTCCGCCGCCATTCGATCTTCTCACTGTATATCCCTCTCTTTCTCTCTTTCTATTTTCTTATCTTCATAGCAATGTTACCTTTGCTTTTCTGTTTTTTGATCTCTGAATCTGATCTCGCTGATTGATCGCAACTCCGTTTTCTCCGCTTCATGCTTTGAATGTATCTGAATCTCTGATATTCATTGATTGATTTCATTTGTATTCTTTTTTTGCGGTTTAAAATTTGTATTAGATAAAGATTTTATCCATTATGTTTTTAAAATTGTAATGGTTATATAGTTTATTACTGTTATCACCATATTTTTAGTGATCATATTGAAAACCATTGCAATCAGAAGCTTAATGTTACTTTTTTGACTTTAAATGCCACAGACTTTATGTCCCATATGCAATCCTCACTTCAGAAACCAGTTGTAATCCCCATAAAAAACGTTGGATGGAACTTTCAAAGTAGGACTTTCTTCCAAAGCTTGGCAATTAGTGATAAGCACAATGATTCTCACAACAAACGGAAGAAAACACTAGTGTCTTGCTCAAAACCAACAGAAGCTATTGACACTATCAAGTCCGAGGGTGGGTTATTTTGATTCTGAAATTAGTTGTGTACTTATCTTCTATAATTTATTCTATGAGGCTTTATGTTGAATATGGCTACTAACAATCCTTATTCTTTATCATTAATATGTTGTTAGTATTTGATTTCTAGCTTTTTCAATGGTTATAACATTTTGCATTGTGTTTATCACTATAAAAGTATTTGCCAGCAGTTTATATTTCTATACATATTCAAGATTTATATTTTCTCTTACTATTCTATCTTGATCGGATTTGAAAGTCTTAACTTCTGTTATTGCCCGTAATTTGTATGTGTCATTTCTAATTTCTTCTTGTTTCTTTGCTTCTTTCAAAGGAATTATATATTTACTTGGATGCTTAAAATTCAGCAACAATTCTATTTATTTTCTGATGAGCATTATTTTTGCAAGTTGAGAAATGTATTTTGAAGGTAACATGTTAATTCAATTTGGCTGTTATATCTTAAGAGCTGATAATTATGTTATAATGTTGCAGCTTCTTTGGACAACATTACAAAAGAATCATTGGAGAAAAATCCTTTGCAAAAAGCTACATTTCCTAATGGATTTGAGGTCTATAGCTATCCTTTCTTATATTTACTAGTATTTACCAGGAACATCATGTAGCTTATTATTGAAAAATTATACACTTCTATGGCAATTAGCAACAGTGTGCCACTAATCAACATATTTTTCTACTTGAATCGTTGCCTTGTGAATTTGAATATCTTATAATCCTAAGCAAACTCTTAGTATGATGAACATACTTGGGCAATCATATTGACACTATTTTTACCAATCTATAGGACAAAGTTGCATTGCCTACATATTAAAATGCATCGGTTTGATGATGATAGTACTTTTTATTATGATCCTACAAACTCCTTTTTGTCTCACATGGTTTGATTTGCTTATGACAGGCTTTACTATTAGATATATGCGATGAGACTGAAATTGCTGAAGTGAAATTAAAGGTGACTTTCTAGTTTCTTGTTTTCTGCTTTCATAAAATTAAAATCACACTTCAAGTATAATTAAAGGATAAAATGGAAATTCATTGAATGCTTATAACCCTGAGACTATAGACATGGTACAGTTTCCTCATTTTCTTTTTGTGTGTTTAAGTGTTTGTCCTATATTATTTTTTGTCTTCTTCAATCTTTCAACCTCTGATATTGGATTACCCTTCATTGATATGAAAATGTGCAATCTAATTGAATGTTTAAGATGTTTTTGGCTCATGTGTATATATCCCAGATGTTGCTGGCCTTCATTTGATATAGCATTGTATGCAACAACTTAGATCTAACTTTGCATCTTTATCGGTTTATCCAAAGAAACGTGTCTTTTGCTTTTTGAATATGGGATCTAGCGAATAATTTGAATTGATTTCTGTTATGATAATAGGTTGGAGAGTTTGAGATGCATGTGAAGCGAAGCATTGGAGTAGCAGATGCGCCAATTTCCCACATTTCACCAGCTACACCACCACCTGTTTCAACTGAACTCATAGTTGAATCAACAACTTCAACCCCACCACCTGAACCATCTCCACGAAAAAACAATCCGTTTGTAAATGACTTCCATGGTAAGTCAACAAAGTTGGCTGCATTGGAGGCATCTGATACCAAAAATTATGTCTTGGTAGAATCTCCTATGGTATGCCATATATAAATATATACGTTGAGTTTTGCTTTCACCTAGTTACCATCTTGGACATGAGCTAAGTAAAGTCTGCAATCACTATTTTTCTTCTCTCCTCTGTTTCTAGGTTGGTTCATTTCGAAGAGGTAGAACTGTGAAAGGGAATAAGCAACCTCCTATATGTAAAGAGGTATTTGACATGTTCCTGTGTCTATTGTCCATAACCCATGGCAGAATCCCGAATTGTTTTAACAAATAGGCATTTTTTTTTTTGTAAAATCATCTATGAAAATGTAAACTAGATATTTTATCATGGGAACTCTGATATAGGTTGACCTGTATATTTTTACCAAGGTAATTTTATGTTGTAACCTTAAAATGTATGCCAGGTTTTTCGTATTTTTGCATAAATTCAATTTCCTGTTTTCAATTTTGAAATCCACAGGGAGATATAATCCAAGATGGTCAAATTATAGGCTATTTGGATCAGTGTGGCACTTCACTTCCTGTGAAGGTGATCTTTGTCGACTTCTGTAGCTATTCATCCTTCCTATGTACTGCTCCTGACTTGTTTTTTTCCTTTCGAATCTTGCAGTCAAATGTGGCTGGAGAAGTGTTGAAGCTATTCTTTCAGGATGAAGGTATAATGTCTGTGACTTCTATTAAAATGCATTTAGGATTCAAGTAGCATGAGTGCATGACTCTTCTCAAATAAGAGCAGTATATGTATAAAATGATTCACCAAGACTAGAGAAAAATGGTTTGTTGAAATGCACATGTATAATAGAAAGGATTTTGATAGTGTTACCAATTTTGTGAGCTTAGCTCATTTGGCTGGAACATTAACTTGAAATTTCTTGATGAGGGGTTCAATTCAACATCCATTGATTGGACATTCATTTCTTTTTAAATCTGACGACATACATAGTTTTGAAGAATTTCTTAGTGTTTTTTCTGCTTACTGTTTTCAGAGGCTGTTGGTTATGGAGACCCTCTTATTGCTGTCTTACCAGCCTTCGACAATGTCAACTGAGCTAGCCTTTCCTATTGTTGATGATTCGCTATACACCATTTATTCTTTGTATTCTGCTGTAACAGTCCAGTAATGATTGATTTTGAAAATACCATAGATATTTTGCTTAATGATGAAACGTATTTAATGAATGAACAAGGTCAACAAGATTATTATGCATCAACATTCAGTCTTGTTTTGGACTCAGCTCCTCACTCATCCTTTGAATAAGCATCTCTTTAACTTTGTGCAGCCCATGAGTCTATCTTTGCATACTTGTTTTAATATTTCAATAAAATGAATGAGATAGATCAATACCTCTTGGTGAGCGAATCTGTAGAATATAAATATGTTGATATATCAAGTGTGAGTTAAGTCTCATTTCTCATGAAAACAACATAAAGGTTAAGTACTTTATAAGTGAGATGACTCATATACTCATTACCTTAAGGTTTTTGATTTTGGGTGAATATGTGGTGTCAGAAAGATTTTTGATACAAGGAGTCTTAGTCGAACCAGACTCTGATACCACTTGTTGCGGAAGTTCGGGCCGAAAGTGTCAATAGGCCAAACAAACGTTGGGGATTTTAAGAGACACTACATATCCATTCAAAATCTTAATGCATTAGCTGAAGGCATTAAGAGTCTGGGTCGCCTCTCTTATAAATTCAATATTTTCTCCATTCCTAATCGATTTGAAATTTTATCACTTTCACACTTGAAACCCAACGTATAAATAACCTAAAACTATCTTTTATGATGGTATCCTTTTGCAATTAAGTTGTGGTATGTCAATCAATTGAAGAGGCTGTTAAAAACTTGCTGCAGGATTGAGTTAAAGGATTGATTTGTAAATTGTGATATGGGTAGAGCCTCATGCTAAAGGTATAAAATTTATGACCATACCCTTGTTTCATTTTACTATCACTTGTTTTGAGTTATGATTTCTTCTTCTGCGTTAAATTTTTTAGAATATACTAATACTGATTCAAAGTATTGTTGGGTGAAAACTATACTGATTCAAAGTATTGTTGGGTGAAAACTAAGTCCACACTTTACTATTTCCTTGCATTAATCCATTAAGAAAAAAATGGAGTTTTACCTGAAGACTTGGATGTCCAATTGGAAGCATGAATGAGAAATTGATTCATATACAAAAATTGCATTTTAGACCATGTATCAAATCAAAGATGCTCCTATTTTTGCTTGTGCAAACCAAACATGTTCTTAGCTAGCCATTACGCGCGTGTAAGAAATAGTTAACAAGCATGAAAGAATCAACCAACAAAATAAATTAAAAGAGAGCATAATAAACATTTATTTATGTCCTTTTTTTCATCTACTTTTATTTGCATATCAAATGCATGAGAGTTTAAAAGGAAATCTTTTCTTTTTCATTTGTCATTGGAAAAACTTTGACCTTAGAAAACTTTCTTGGAATAATTCTCTGTTGTTGCACAACCAAAACAGAAGTCTTTGTTTCGAAATCCGAAGAAGCAAGCATGTCTCCAATGACTCCTAATTCAGGACACTCACTCCATTCCTCATACCCTTGAAGCAAACCAGATTTTGCATGTTCCTTTCCTACCATAACCAAATCAAAAGAATCTATCCATTTTCGTATTCTTTTCGACATTTCTATTCCGTCTTTTATAACTTCATCAACAGTCTTAAACCTACGGTTTCCCTTATTTAAGTTTCGATATTCGCCTATCACATCTCCCTCGCGCCTCTTTTCCGTAGAATTTTCCAATCCGTATTGTAGAAACCGAATCACCGTAACTCTCACGTTATCATGCCTGCACATTCTTGAACTATAGGCTAGTGCTTCTAAATCATCATCACCTCCAAGGAAGAACACGCCGACTTGGTATGGTAATGGTGTTGTAGGATTGGAAAACAGTTGTTTGGTATTGTTTGCACCTCTATCAACTAGGACTCCGACAGAACATGGCGCGGTGTTGAGAACTTTAATGTTCATGTATTGAATTGATTTGTTTGTTACTGCAACACTTCCATCAATCTCCCATCGCTTATGAAAAGGAAGAATCAAAATGTTGGCTATTCTGTCGATTGCTATACGACAAACATCATCGTTCATGGTTTCAAAATTCGAGATTGAAGTAAACAGTTCAGCTGTTGCATACCCTTTGTTGTGTTCTATATATTGGTAAAATGCATGATTCACTTGTGTTGATTGCGACAAGGTGCACCGTAGAATATTGTGCGGTTGATGCGCGACAAGAAGTGGTCTTGATCTTCCTAAAAGCTCTACCAGAATAAGTGCTATCACTCTAACATGGCTATTTTCACTTGCATGAGATACTTCCAATAGGTTCATCATTGTCGGAATGTTTTCGTTCCTGTAAACGCAAACCATGATCCGGAAAATATCCAATTCTCCACTTGTATGTTGAATTGAGCTTCTTATTATAGGATGATATTGTTTTGAAGGATCATACAAGATTTTTATAAGCGGTGTTATGATGGCGTTTATCGCGATGACAGAAAACACTACCAAAGAGAACTCTTGTTCTGTTAGTAGCTGTCAAAAAAAACAAATTTACATAAAGGAAAAACAAATGAGTGTCGAATTGAAATATAAGAAGAATTTTGTACCTTGGATCCCCTCCATAGATTATAAACAAGAAGTTCTGCTACGCCGCGCGAATTCAGAATCAGTCCGATCACAAAACAATCTCTCAAAGGTACATTAGTGAAATATCCGGAAAACATAACAGCTCCGATTTTGATCCCAACGGAAACAATGACAACGAAACACACAATCCACATAGACTTGAAATCAATTTTGAAGAGATTAGTTTTCATTCCGGAAATCGTAAGGTAAATGGGATAAAAGAAAGCATAAGTAAATGCTTCTATTTTGGCAATCAAACTTGTTCCTATAGGTGGCCCTTCTGGTAAAGCCAATCCTAAAAGCAATGGTCCCATAACATAATGTTGTCCAATAACTTCACCAAGAAATCCAGCAATAAGAACAAAGACCATGATACAAACAAATAACCATTCACTAACATGTTTTCCGCTTCTTAGTTTCTTAGAGATCCCTATAATTATCGGTCTCATTACGAAGATAATCGAAAGAACGAGGCCAGCCAAAGATAAAAAAATACCTAGGAATTTAGAAACACCACGATGTTTGTATTGAGCTATTGAAAAGACAATTATAGCCAATGAAAATCCAACAATGTCAGAAAACAATGCGACCGACATGGCTAATCGGCCGATGTCCGTGTTTAGAATCTTTAGCTCTGTAAGGATGATTGATACGACCATAAAAGCAGTAAAGGATTGCGAAAAAGCTATATATGGAAGAGATCTGGAAAGGCTTGTGTCCATGGGAACATAAGAGGTCATCAAAACGGATACACTAGTTGGAATTACTAATGTGAACACGAATACAAAAGAACTAATCACCATGGCCTTTTTTTCAGTCTTCCATAATGTAGCAGGATCCATCCTTACACCTACTATGAAGAAGAAGAACATAATTCCAAATGCCGCTGTTGTTTCAATTACCATAGAACCTTTTGGAGGAAACAATGCATTTGATATCATTATCTTTTTATGACCAAGAAATGATGGACCAAGTAATACTCCACCCTGTTCCCATGCAACATTTGTTATTATATGATTATAATAATAATAATAATAATAATAATGAGCAGAAATTTCACTCCAATCTCAGTTGATGTCTATTCAAAGAATAAAATGCATATTTCCTCCTATATTAATATTATATGGATGAATATAATACATGTTTAGGGTAGAGAAAGCTTACAAGAATCTGAGCTACAATGGATGATTGACCAAGAGGTTGGATACAAAGAAAGATAAATTGAGAAACAATGGAAAGCAAAGAATATTGAAGTAAGAAAAGAGAACGTGGGTTATGAAGAGGGTTGGCAGAGTGCCAGATATCACTACTTTCATAATTGTGAGGACTTTGGCACAGAAATTTAATGGTTCCGGATTCAAAATTCATAAATATCAATGTATATGGGAACAATGGAAGGAATTAAAAGATTACTTTCATGTGTGTTTTTCTCTTTTTTTTTAGTGTTCTTTTGTCCTAGAAGAAGTAAAAGATGTAAGGTTAAGGGAAAGAAAGGTTTAAAGGTAATGAAATTGATAGAAGAAAAATGAGAGGGTGGCCTTATATTTTGATATTCGAATTTTTTAATGGTTTACATTCAAGTAAGGTGATTTTGTTTTACAATAAGATTGCAAAGTAGGAATCTATATTTATATTTTGTACATTTGATTAATTGAGACTATGTACCAATATTCAACTTTCTTGATTTCTTAGAAGAGAAAAAAAAATATATATATATATATAATGTGGTCATCCATGTGACTTATGAGTATATAGGCTTAAGTTTTAAAATTAGAGCTCATATTTTTATGATTTTTTATAGCTCTAACATTAAAAAGTCCGCTATCCATTAGGACTAGTTTATATGCGCTGAGGTAGTCCATTAAACCCACATTGCTATATATTTTAAAAAATTATATTAATATTTATATTGTCTTATTCTAAAATAATATATTGATTTTTCTCAGTTCAATAAATTTTATCTCTATTCTATTCAATCTTACATTAAGATGATCAACATTTATTTCTCTTATTTTATTAGTTTTTCTTAAGTTAAATATTTGAGTATTATCTTATACAATTTAGACATGTATTGTATTTAAAAACGAATTATAGTATTTATAAACGATAATTTAGTACTTATAAATGTATTATGTTTAAAATAATATAACTTTTAATTTTATTTATAATAAATATAATGATTTCTTTTAAAAGTCCATTTAAAGTCGGGTAGTCTGAAGTCCATCAAAGATCAGACTCGGATAGTAACTTAAAAGGGTACACTTTTTATAAATATTAATAATTTATTTAGAAGTAAGATATAAAAAATATATTATATGAAATTAAAATTAAAATAAATAATTTATACTCATTTATCTCAACTGATAGTAAATATCAGATGAATTATCTTACGTATCAAAAAATATTTAAAATTGAACTAGATTATTTTTAAATTATTTTTTATTATAAATAACTAATAAAAAATAATATTAAAAATAAAATATTAGAACGAATTTTTAAGAATATATTTAATAGAAATCTTTAAAATAAAGTTTATATTAAATAAAAAGTAAAAAAAAAAAGTATATTTTTGAAAAAATTGAGATTGAAACATAGTTTATGATTTATCAACAATTAAATTAAATTATAATTTGAGGAGTCGTGTTTATGTTAAGTTGATAGTTAAATTTTATTAACATGAAGAAAAACAATGGGGATACTGGCAAGTATTTTGTGATGATGCTTCAATTCATATTGATTTGGAGGTCGTCCTGCTTAGGGTAAAAGGAGGAAAAAGTGGAGGTCCTCCTTCTAAAGGCGGAGAATTTAAGTTTTGGGATCGGAGCTTTAAGGGCCTAAGTTTCTTTTATGATCATATTCATGCTACTGAATATGTCAAGAAGGCCAATACTAAGGGTGCCCAAAAGCTCCTTAAGCATCTTGACACTTATTTCATGAGAATTTGTGTTATAGGGCGAGCTTTTTTGAGGTGGCTGACTCATCTGATTGACAGGCAGATGGGCTAAGGCTTGAGCTTTCCCAAACGAATGAGGCTTAGGCCATCAATTAGACTCTTATCACTTTTGCCAATGATAGGATCAGTGGGCTTGAAAAAGAACTTAAGACTGCCCAGGATAACCGCGAGACACATTGCGAGAAACTTTCCCTAGTTGAGAAAGAGGTGATCTCGCCTAAAGGAACCATTAAAAGGTTAAAAACCGACCATACGGAGAAGCATGTGAGCAAACTTGTATCCATGGATCAAGGTTTCAATAAAGCTAAGACTTTGGTCCTCTTCTTATACCTTAACCTTGATTTATTTGAATTAGACTTTTTCAATATGGTGGATGATGGTCGTATGGTCGAAGAGGTTGACCCAGAACTGACTAATGAGTAAGTTGTCTTTGCTAAAACTTAGCATGTCGCTGGGAATTAGGATTTTTTAAGAAGTGCAATGTTGAAGAGGCGGAGGCGAGAAAACTGTGGATTCGGCCCATGATTTTTAACGTTTTTTTTAATGTTTTTTTCGGCCCTTTCAGGGCTTTTATGATGTAATGGTACTATTTTTCACTTTAACCAAGTTTTTGCATGTTGACCCTTCATCTATTCCTTTTATGCCTCCTCATACTTGTAATGTTTAGTTTGTAAACCATTTATTCTTTTTGTATCTTCTTGACCCGATGATGGGTTCCCCATATGGAGGTCTTGAGTTAAATACTCGGAGAGCCTAGTGGATTCCGATTGCTGCCCCTTGTGGAGGTCTTCAATTAAATACTCGGAGAGTCCAAAGGATTTTGATCGCTTCCCCCTATGGAAGTCTTAGATTAAATACTCAGAGAGTCTAATAGGTTCTGATCGTCTCCCCATATGGAGGTTTTGAGTTAAATACTCTGAGAGCCTAGTGGGTTCCAGCCGTCACCCCATGTGGAGGTCTTGGGTTAAATACCCAAAGAGTTCGTTGGGTTTCGATCTCTTTCCCTGTGGAAGTCTTGGAGTAAATACTCAGAAAGCCCAATGGGATTTGGTCACCTCCCCCTTGTGGAGGTTTTGGGTTAAATACTCTAAGAACTTTATGGGTTCCAGTATGTGTTTTGCTCACACCTGAAAATAGTAATTTTATGAAATGCTCATGGTGCCTCATAAAAACTTTGCCCTTGTAGAGGAAAAGATTTTTACCCTAAGTCACCACTTCTTAGCTTAACTTGGTTGTCTTCTTCATTGAAATGCTCTCTCCGTCATATATGGGTGTTGATTTCTACCGGCAGCATTGTGTCGAGCCCATACACCATTCAACATAGGTTTGGTTGAGAAATATGGGGTTGTGTAATACGACAATAACACTTCATGAAGCTGTTCCACCCACAAACATTGGATTCATCCAAATTTTTTTAGCTTCGCCTCTCCATTGGCCTGGGGATGTTCGACCGATATGAATTTCACCTAGATCCCTAGATTTTAGCAGAATTATGTCACGTCGAGCTAGATAATTGAGTTCAGTTGTCAGACATGTTGGTTTTGGACAGGCCAAAGAGACAAATGATGTTCCTCCAATAAAAACGTCTGACTCTCTCCGCCATTATCCTAGCCACTACTTCTACCTCTACCCACTTGGTGAAGTAGTCTACACCGATCAATATGAATTTCAATTGGGTTGGTGCTAGCAAAAAAAAGGCCCAGTTATCCACCCTCCATTTGTAAAGTGGTTATGGTGAGATAACATAATGAAATAGTATGGTCGGTGTATGAATGAAGGGCTTGTATCTTTGGAATTTATCACAATGGTTAAAGAACCTAGCGTTGTATCTGAGCATCTCTAGTCAATAGTACCCTGCCCTTAGAAGTTTTCTTTCTAAGGCTCTTCCTATGTGTACTTCATACAAAACTAGACTCACTTCATCTTCCACAATGCATCTTAGAATGGGCATTGATCTACCCATCTTGTAAAGTATATTCGCCACCAAGACATCTCGGGCGGCGAGCCTCCTTATTTTCTTGGCTTCAATCTCTCCTTCTGGAAAATGCTCTTTGGTCAAGTATTCAATGATCATAGTCATCATGTTTCCCCATTCTCAATAATTATTACCTCGTTAACTTCTGTACTTGGGTCATCGAGAGTCTCATGTATCATTGTCATATTTAAACTTGGATTTTTAGTACTTGTTTTTTTTTTCCGATAGATTTTCCCGAACATTTTCTTCTCGGGGCACATGTATTATTTCAAAGGTCTCGAAATCTTTTAACCTCTCTAGGATTTGCTGCAGGTATTTGTCCAATAACGACTCATTTGTTTGATAACCTCAATGTACCTAGTTAGTGACTTATTAAGAGTCACTAATGGCTTAGAGGTGGGTAGTTCATGGTTCAAGGGAATATTTCATTCCGGCAATTAAAGTTTCATGCTCCGCCTGATTGTTGTTGGCCTAGAAGTTGAAACTCAAAGATTATTCAAAAAGCGCATATCCTAGAGTATCCAACACGATGCTCGCTATGCACCCTTTCAGATTATAACACTCATTCATTGATAAGAACTAAAGGCATGAGGATTCTGCCTGAATGGGAGTGTTGAATTCGACTAGAAAACTTGTCAAGACTTAAGATTTTATGTTGCACCTCAGCATGAATGTTATGTCATACTCAGCAACTCCACCTACCAAGCCACCGTTCTACCCGCTAGATCTGGCTTTTTCAACACTTGTTATATCACTCAACCATTGATAAATAAAATAAAGGCATGAGGATTATGCATGAACTCATACACATTACAATCAGTAGTCACACCATCTTTTGACTACACACCATTTCCCCCCATTTTTGCCATGATTTGGCAAAGCTCTATTAGCACAGTTAGCAGCAACTTGGTCAGTATTATCCATGAGCATATTCAGTGAACTTGCCAGTCAAAAACACACCAAATTAGGAGTATAAAATATCAATAACAACCATGGACACAAATGTTGAATAGAAAGCTAGAACATCAAGACTGAAGCTAAAACACCAAAATTGAAGGCTATAATATCTTCTGATGAAACAAAATTAACCCACTCTTCATCATCATCTGAGTAGGTTTATCTTCAATGCAAATCCAATCTTCCATATCTTCTCAATTAATCCAAATTTTTCTTTCAAAGCTAGAACAACAGAAACTTGGACTTGAACAAATTTGAAGTGCATAATAATCCAACCAGTATAGCACACTGATCAATGCATATTTATGCACATTCTCCTATATTTTTACTTAGGCATTTCTTTACTTTATTTTGATTATTTTTATGTTTTATTATGTTTTTACATTTTATTTTATTTTTGGTTTAATTTGATTTTCGCACTTTATTTTTCAGCTTTAGCAGTCTGCACGGAAACGATCATAACTGGAGTTTCGGGAATCCGTT